CCAAACTGTGTTTGGACTGCAGGAAGCTGTTTGGGAGATAGAAGTTTTATCAAACCATCAATGCAGCCTGAAGGAAATCTTAAGTCTGAAGTTATTTTTTGTAGGTACCTCTTCAGCTGGTGTTTTTGGTCTTGTCTCTATTTGTTTAAAAGTGTGTTAGCAGTAAATCAAGGTGCATTTCCCCTGTAGGGTTTCCTGTATGTCAAAGCCATGTTAATTCTCTTTGATTTTCTTCCCTTAGCCCCAGCCATTGCTGCAGATCCTTCCTCTCTTTGTCCCTTTGGACATCAAAGGACTGCAAGGGGACAGCCCTGGGGAGAAGCTCCTCCCTATTCATTAGCCTTCATAAAACGAACTCACCTTGGCTAGCTAAGCTTGGAGTCCCATCCTTAGTCCCAGGCACTCTTGACACTGGATCACAGAAGGAAGGGCTCCTGCTTGCTTTGGGAAATCAAGACTTTTGCTTTTGAACTGGACTACTTTGGTTTTCAAGAGAGAGGAGTTCTGGTGGATCTCTTGCCTGCGCAACTTCTATGACTTAACGGTACATGGAAAAATGCAAGCTTTATCTGGTAGGTGACTTTTCCATTTCTCAATGTGTAGGGAAGACCCTAAAGTAGTGCCAGGGGTATACTGAAGTTTAAAAAAGGGAATAGTGTACCAACAGGTCATCAGCATTTGTGGATACTACTGGGGGCGTTAAATCTTCCTAGAGAGGGAGAAGACAAATGGAAGCTGCGGATGCTCTGTGTGAACATTAGACATCTTGTGGCGCTTGCTGTAAGACAAGCAAAGGTTTACTTTGGTGCTTTTCCTTTAATTCCCTAGTATCCAGTTTGCAAAGTGCCATGGGTTCCTTGGGGATGAAATGCCATATAGAAATCTAAAATGCGCATACATTGTTAAGGAACTTAGGGCATTTCTGATCCATGATACAGAGATTAGCTTGACTCTGTATATTCTCTTCCCTCCAAGAGTAAAAGAACCATATGCCACGATCTTGGTAAGTTTTCATTCCCTGTGGACACCATTCTATGTCCCATACTGATCACCAGGGATTTTTATTTGCTTATTTTTGTTCATCGGTCCTACTAAACAAATGATTTATAGATTTTTGTGTTAATTTCACATACGTGTTTCAAATGGATAATAACTACCTACCGCTTCACTTTGTCACCCATGCACTGCTGATTTATTCCTAAGAAGCCAAGTAGCTTTACAGTGACAAAGATGATTTTAATTGCTGCCACTGTTTTGTTTTGGGGTTTTTTAAACAATACTTACGATAGTGAATTGAACATGGAAGGAAGGAACATTATGGTGATTTCTTGCCACATTGAGCGGGACTTCAACTTAAAAAACTTAGGAAGTACAGTGAAAGGCATAGTCTATCTGACATCGCTGTGTCTAGGCAAGTCTTATTATTTTTTCATGTCATTATATGTATCACACAGCATTGGAAATCAAAACATTTTTTGGCAATGCATGACTGGATTTGAGAAGCAAAATCATAGTACTTGTGAAGCAAACCCAAAATGGGACTAGGTAAGCAGTAACTGAGCCTTTCACTTTCCCTTCTTTAAAGCCCCAAACTGCAATTTCAGGAGACTGGGAGGTCACCCACTGAATAAAGGGGTGTTCATATTGCCATTTGCAAGGCTGGAGGCCTTTTTTGGCTCTACCCTGTGCAGTTTTTGGCAAGATTCCTTTTTCAGATAGCTATATATGTTGAAATGTATTTCTTTTTCAGGGACATCAAACAGTCCCTGGAAGCCAAACAGTTTTATCTTTAGGCTGTTACACTGCGGGTATAACAGCAGCAAATGTAATTGAAACTGATTTTGATAAAGGTGGAATACATACATACTCCTGGGTCCCAGTGGATATTTTCAAGGTGCCTAGACCCCATCTTATATATTGTACAGGAACTCTGTTAATATAACCCCTAAAACTAAATTGACAATATTTGTTCCAGTACCACAGCACTTTTGCAAGAGTTAGAGCAATTCCTTAAAGAGGCCCAGTTTGCTTTCTATAATGCTGTTCCATAACCTTTTGTGCTAGGATCTCAAAGTGCTTTATAAACATCACTGAATGATGTGCCCCTTAACATAGGAAAATGTTCTCAATACTTTGCAGACAGAGACGCTGAGGTACAAACAAGGTTAGTGACTTGCCAGCATCCATGTAACTAGTATACAGTACAGCGAAGAACAGAGCTAAGCCGTGCCCTGCTTCAGGCACAGGAGTCTCCTGTTTGACCATACATTGACACAGAGAAAAGCATGCATTATAATCACTGCTTCCTGTTAATAGCATGAATACCTTCTAAAATAGTTTAGGCCTAAGATTCCAGGGAAAAAATAATTCTGTTAATATAACCCCTAAAACCAAATTAGAGGTCCAGGGCTTAACTTAAAAACAAGGAGACATAAACCTTAGCAGAAACTGAGGGGGTGGAGGAGGGGAAAAACTCCAATGAACATCACAGTGGAAATCCCTAATTAAGTAACATAAAATAATGCATCCAAAAGTTTTATAAAGTTTTATTTTAAAGTTCTGAACAGTTTGCTACCAGCAGAGCTTTTGCTCGCCTCTTTCGCTATCTGAAGAGCATATCACAAACCTTTCCACATTATTGTTCAAACTCCCAGCTGTGTGCAGGACTTAGCCCCTGGCTTGGTTCAGAATCACATCCATGCAATGATCTCTCTCTCTCTAAATATTCTTTAAAGTGTCATCCCAGGCACTCAAAATTTAAGGCACCAAAATCCTTAAATATTTTTGAAAATCTTTGATTATGTACCTTGCCCTCACCTTGATTATGTTCGCTGCTGTTTCTGTCTTCTGTAGTGTCTTAGTCATATAGTACATTGTGGTTTTATTCTTATACAACCAGATTATGAGATCTGTGTTTGTTTGATTTTTTTTTTTCAGGCAAAATTACTGTCAATTTAATTTTCATCGACTTCACCAATAGTGTTGCCTCTGTAAAGGCCTCAAAGTTGGGTTGATTGTTTCATTTAATAGTCTTGGAATTTGTTTACCAAAAGGTTTAATTGTAAAATAGGTTTGGAGTAAAAGATGAGTATCTATCTATCCAATCAAAATCTGTTTGCATGTATTTGTGACTGGACTGTCTCCTGCTGCAAATCGACCCAATTCTGTTGTAACTCCTTTTGATATGTGGTCTGCAGTGAACTACAAAATGCACGATCTCATTGCGGCTTTCATGTCTCTGCTAGAGGATATGAGGGAAGCTTTAGTAAGAAGATGTTAACAGGCTAATCTTAGGGAGCAAACTAGGTGTCACTTCTTAGCCAGTTCATTAATGTTGGATCAAAGCAACCAAGTCTAGGGGTGGTATGTCTTTTTTTAAATACCTTTTTTTTTTTTAAATACCTAGCGAGCTTTGCAAACTGATAACATCATGTTTAAAAACTGCTTGCATCGGAAGTCAGAAAACATATCCTTTTGGATGGGCCTTCTTTCAGTGGAAATAATTGGTTACTTTTCGTGTGTATTTGCTTAAAGATGTTGACCAGGGAAGCTGTAATGAAGTGACAAATTCTCTTGTGTCTATATAAGAATGGCTGCAGACTAAAAGGCAATCCCCTATTAAAATAAATGGCTATGCATGGCTGATAATGTATCCTTGTCTTAAAAATGGACCTGCTTTTGTTACACTGATGACAGCACTGCAGATCTGAATACTTTCAATCAAAGAGTTATTTTCTTCAAAACTTTGACTAATAAGACCATGAGTCAAAACCAGATCCAGTTGAAATCAGCAGGATTTTGCCATGCACATCAATGGGATCACATAGTAGAGAGAAGAGCAGCACTAGGCTTTTGGTTTTGACTTTGAGGTATAATTTTGGTCAGTTCGGGCACATCTACATGAAGCGCTTAAGGTACAGAAGACTAATTCTACTTACTGCACATTAGCGCGGCTGGCAAAAACCATTCTAATGTTCTAATGCTCAGTAACACTGATTACCGTGCATTAAGTTACTACCTGTTATTATAGGTACTAAACTTAATGTGCCATAATTATAGCGCATTAATGAATGTGTAGACGCTCCCTCTATGTTGTAGTAATTGTAGTAATATGCTTAGGTCTTCTATAACATGCATCATCCAGAGATTTCAAAGATCTTTGCCAAGCAAGTTAGTATTGTTATCTCCATGTCACAGATGGGGAAACTAAGGCACAAAATAGTGAAGTGACTTGCTCTCCAATATCTCACAGGAGTGCCATCTGTTCAGATAGATATTGCTAGGCCTGGAGAGCTATACACATGCTTTCCAAAGGGAATTGCTCAGTGATCCATCTGCCCCAGCCTATTTGATTGCTTTGACCCTGTCATAATGAACATTCCCTTTCCTTTTAGCTTTCAAATTAAAACACTTTATGTGACTGTGTTTAGATAAGGATGCCTTCTAATAGTGAAATGTCCTGCTTTGATGATCTCCACTTGAACACTGAATAGAATAAAATAAGTAAGCTAGGCATGGCATGGTGCACAAAGCTAAAATCTCAACCAAGGAGGATATCTGCCTTGAAAAATATCTGGAACAGCCTTTTCTGTTTATTAAGATAGCCTAACTGAAAGAATCTGTAGGTGCTGTAATTTCTCTCAGTGTATCTCAGTTGTGATCACATATACACACAGCCCCCCACCTACACACACATGCACGTGCACATGCGCGCATGCACACACACACACACACACACACACACACACACACACACACGTCAGGGGGATCTTCAACACAAGCTTTCATTCTTTGAGCTCCATTAATTATGGGAGAATTGTGGAGTGACCAATACTGAGGCCAGCCACAAGGAGGAGTGATGATCTGCATACACTGGACAAGTCTTACAGCAGGTCCTGAAACTTTGCAACTGGCCATTTCCAAACACAGACGCTCAGAGGAACAGGCACTGACATCAAGTTTGAAAGCTCTGTCTGAAGCATTTTGGCATTGACTTCCTCATGACTAAACTGTTTTCTTTTTACTTTCCCCTGCTAGATGTGAAAACTCAGTGTGATGCCCTTCCTTCCTCCAACCTGGAGTCTTACCCTCAGAGCTCCATTGTTGTTACCCTAGAGGACATGGACCTCTGGATGCAGTTTCACCAAATAGGAACCGAAATGATCATCACTAAGTCTGGCAGGTAAGGATGGCCAGAAAGCTGTGGGCACAGTGTTTGTGCAAGCTGCATGCAGACCATTCACACCCAGTACATCATTTTTGGAAAGGTGACTTTCAAGCTAGTTTTTAAGCCACAGATTCTGTTTTCCCTTCCCCTTGCAGAACAACTGCAGCATCAAAGAATCTAGAGGTCCTTTAGCTCTGAAGTGGAAATGTCACCCAGGTTACTTGGTGACTTACACACTGAAAAATCCATCCCATGCTGTAGCTCCTGCATCAAGCAGTGACAGTGGCCCCCACTGTTCTTTGATTGCCACACAGAGATTGAATCCTAGATTCACAAGCAAACATGGCTGCTGCATTATAGGCAAATAATTTGAATGTATAGGCATGAAGGTGCTCCAGGTCATGGTAGATGAAACATTTGGGATGTTTCTAGTGTCCAGTTTTCGAGCTTGACGCTTCGGATGGACAGTGCAAAGGATGATGCAAGTCAAAGAAGAGACTGGACCCATGCTGCTCTTAAATTTAACTATTCCAGCCTTGAGGAGCATGATGCGTTCTGGAACAAATAGAGGATATGGAACTTTAATATATTGTGCAAGATAAAGCCAAGAAGAGAGGATGCCAGACCTTTTGAGGCCTAATAAAGGGGTCTTCTGTGACGAGGGAGAGCTGGTGAACCAGTCCTCATAAGAAAGAAAGGGAAATTAATGACCTCTAACAGTATTGCAAGGAGTCATAGCAGTTGTGGAGAGTTTCCAGAGAGAGGAGGGGAGGGGAGAGCTAGACAGATTCTCAAATGGGTGCCACCTACACAAAAAAATCAGTTTCCCAGGAGGGCTACAGCTGGGCAAGACACAGTGAAAGCCCTAAACGTTGTCTACACTTAAATTTTCTTTAAAATTTCCATTGTTGTATATTAGGAGTAACAACAGTAGGAGTGCTAGAAAAGGCAAGCCACTAGTGACTTTGAGTAGAGCTAGATAATAGGCTAATAAAAATGTCAGTGGCTGATCTACACTGTGATCCCAAGAGCACTTTGCCTGACAGACCACAAACAAGATCAAATGCCTGACTAGACTATTAAAAAAGAACAAGACCTTTGTAATATAGATTTTATTTCTTCTTCAGACGAATGTTTCCACAGTGCAAAATCAAAGTCTCTGGCTTGATCCCTTATGCTAAATACCTCATGCTGGTGGATTTCGTGCCAATGGACAACTTCAGATACAAGGTAAATAATTTCAGGGGAGGAAAGGTCATTCTGTCCTTTTGCTTGTTCCAGTTAATGAAATTTACCTGCATGCAGGGATCCAGTAAAATACCCAGGCACCATTTAAATTATCTTAGATCTTATATGGGATATAAGTGCTGGCCCTCTGCATAGTGTGAATACTTATGTTTCAGGTGTTAGTTGGTGACCAACCAGAATTACGTGTCTTCTGGAGGTTTCATAACATTCTTTGGATCAGTCCCCAGTCGCCATTATTGCAGGGCTGGCAGCTGGAAGAATAACATCCTTTAATTTGTAAAGTGCACAAGTATGTTTTAAATCATTGACATAGTAAATATGGAGACTCGACTCAGTTAATGTTTATAAAATGCCCCAAAACTAGTAGAGAGGGCAGCAAATAGGGGGCTGATCATGGAGACTAACATAAGAACATGACATAGTACCTTCACATCATCAGTCAGACATAGCCCACTCCATGACATCCCCACTGCATTAAGTAAAGAAGCAAAGATGCTGGTCATTGTTGCTTTGATACTGTGAGGGCAGGGCTACTAAACTGTGGGATTTCCTATGTTTCCTTTTCCAGTGGAATAAAGATCAGTGGGAAGTCGCTGGAAAAGCAGAGCCACAACTTCCCTGCCGTACATATGTCCATCCAGATTCTCCAGCTCCTGGCAGCCACTGGATGAAAGAACCTGTCTCCTTCCAAAAGCTGAAACTCACCAACAACACCCTGGATCAACATGGCCACGTGAGTTGTAACTGAGCTTTTTGTTCACTGGAACTCCTGGAAGGGAGGATTTGGTTCTCAATGCAAGTTCAACCAAAAATGTTTGTTTAATGAGCATTTAAGTGAGTTGGTTAAAATTCTTCTACAACCTATGCAAGATTTACAGAACAGCATCTCTGCATGCTGAAAGTGTCATGGTATCCATGTACACTGCACCCATGGGTTTGGTGACTCTTGATAACTCACGCACTGACTCTCAGGATATGTTAGCTGTCTAGTCAGAGGAGGGGCTGAAATGTATTTTCCTTCTCCATTGTTTTATACCCACTGCTGGGCCACTGGGTTTATTCCTCTGATCCTACAGCTGGTAAATGGGACACTTGTAGAATATCACCCTTGTACCCATTTTAAACAGAAAATGCCTATTTAATGGAGCTGAATAGAACTGGGGTCATCACAAAGGTAAAGTTTTAACTTGAGACCTGGGTTGGGAAGTAGAGACTATGCCAACAGCAAGCTGGCTAAGTGATGCTGCAATTGGAAGTCTCCTGTTTCCTTCTCCACTAGATCATCCTTCACTCCATGCACCGTTACAAGCCTCGCTTCCACATAGTACAGGCAGATGACCTGTTCAGTGTCCGCTGGAGCATCTTCCAGGTGTTCAGCTTCCCTGAGACTGTCTTCACCTCTGTTACTGCCTACCAAAATGAGAAGGTACAGTGTGTATAAGCACAAGCCTTCTGCACCTGGGTAAATACCAAGCATGTACACTCAACGCTGCCCCCAGGAAGAAAGGTCTTCCACTGCCTATATGGACAACAAAAGGAGTCTCTCCTCCCCTGCTTCTGCAAATAATGTGGCAATGCCCCTTCCCTCTAACTCACCTGTGAGGATGGGACAGGTATTCTTTCTCATATACAGACAGTATCTGAATCCCTCCTCCCTCGTTTTTGTGGGTAATACAAATATCCTTCCCCCTTTTCCTGTCTTCTAAGGGTAACACTCATAACCTTCTCTATACCCATATCTGAGATAACACTAGTAGTCCTCGTCTCCTGCCCCTGCCCCTGCCCCCATCTGTGACCCATTCCATAGAAGAGTCTCTCTGAGCTGGAGATGGAGGAGTAATTCCTTCAGCAATCCATATTGCACAGGTATGCAACCTTGATGTTCAGTACCTTGTAAGAATGGGAGGTGTTGGTGACAGAATGGCAGCTATAACTGAGTTTGTCATTAGATGGCTTAAAGTCAGATCTGTATTGCTGCTTAAATTTGATCTTTTAAATTTGAGAGGGAAAATCATCCAGCAGTGAGGGGCACTGGTTTGAATTTAGAGAGAGCCAACTTTAGTTCCCTGCTCTGTCATACACTTTGTATGTGACCTTGAGCAAGTCACTTAGCTTTCCACTGCCTCAGTTCCCCATCTAAAAAAGGTCTCTTATGGGATAAATACATTAAAGACAATGAGGCAATAAGATCCTGCAAAGATGGGGGCTATATAACTACCACAAATGAACCGTAATGTATAGAGAGAGAGCATCTGTATCAGTGCTGGGGTTGGGAATCTTGCTTCAGAGCAATACAGACCTGGTCCTGGCACCCAAAGCAACACTTCTTTCTACTACTGAATCTAATTTCTTTATTTTTAAGATCACAAAACTCAAGATTGACAACAACCCATTTGCTAAAGGTTTCCGGGAACATGGGAAGAACACTCGAAGGTAACTGTGGTCTCATGAGGACATAGTGCGCCTGCACTAGAACACTGCCGCTCTTGGTTGTCAGCTTAATTCTAACATCCAGCATCCGGGTGCTCCTTCATCACCACTCCCTTGATGTGGAGGCACTTCCCCCACCCACACAACCAGGAGGTTAGATGTCACCGAAAATGCTTGCAGGCTTTTTTTAGTCATTTTTTGTCTGGAAAAGTGACTCCTTTTTTGTCATTGGGTCAAAAGTGATTTCCATTTAAACAAACTTTTGAAAGCTTCATGTTGATATTTTCCAATAATAGGACTGTTTGGGGGTAAAATAGGCCCCATGTTCCCTCAGAAACAATCATACCATACCATCTTAAAGAAAAGCTCAGTAGAATTTCTTATATGTATATGATAGCACACCATTTTCATAAATGACTGCACAGACTCTCAGCGCTGAGGCTTTCCAGTGTGATTGTGTGTTTTGTGCAAAGCCCAAGTAAAAACTCCATGGTAGGGAAGGGCTGATTCAGTCTTTCTTCCTGACTGCCACTCTGTAGTTGCAGTCAGCATGACTAACTACAGTCTGAACATTTGAACAAACATAGTTCCAAGAAGCCGATTGCTCTTTAATGTTGGTTCTTGGACAGCAAAAATATGGTTTCTAAAACACTGGAGATCCTAACCTCAACCCCTCTCTCTGCAGAAGTTATTAGATACTTGGTCTTCCTGCTTCTTTGACACATCGGGATATTGTTTCTGCTCTGAAGTTCCCATTACAGACAGCTACATAGGAAGGCTTTATAAACCTTCTTCCATATGTTGTTCTTTTCATAGGGAAGGGCGAGCAAAAGGCCAGAAACCTAGCCCAGCCAAAGGCCAGAAGAGGAAGCTCCCAGAAGAAACAGAATCTGGTGCTGAGGAACCGGGTAATATTGTCAGCAACAGATTTGCCAACAGGGATCATGCTAAGGGGAGGAAAAGACAGTGACTTGGGTCTGCTAAAGCTCCTGTCTGCACAGAGTTGCATTCATCAGCACTGTGGGCAGGGATTTTGGAGGATGCTGTGCAGGTCGGCTTTTAGTAGGAAGGAAGTAGAATGCTCACTCTCATTCCATAATTCACAAGAGGAGCTGGGTGCACAGCCCCAAGAAGTCTGCATCAAGTGGATGTATGGATCAGGGTCCTGCCATCAAGGAAGCCAAATAAGAAAGATGAAGGGGAAGGGAAAGATGAGTATACGGCAGAGACATGAAAGGCAAAAGAACCTTGCAGAACAGTTGCCAAATCAGATGTCTAGTAGCTGCAAGTGTGTCAGCAGATCTTGGGGATCTTTTTCCCTGCTGACAAGGGAAAG